AATCATTTCAGGAGTAATGGAAGCAACTGCTTCTACAATCCGCCCTTCTAATTCCTCCCGATCATTTATCGGATTGCGATAAATATATTCTTTTATGTTATGATATTGAAGAAAATATTTTTACCATATAAATTGTCTGTGATGCCCATTCTACACCTAGGGATGATCCTACTTTTACCACATCCGATACCCCTTCTATACCTAAAGCTAATCCTACTTGCAGCTTATCCGAGGGAGTAGTATAAAGTGTAAAAAGGTACACTGTAGTTGTACTTTGGTACGATTGGAAACCAACCAAAGTGTAAACCTTTTACACTTTATACTACTCCCTCGGATAAGCTGCAAGTAGGATTAGCTTTAGGTATAGAAGGGGTATCGGATGAGCCACAAGTAGGATCATCCCTAGGTGTAGAATGGGCATGACATTTCATAAGTTGACAACTTCTCATGTGGACAACTTCTCATATTTATTATTTTTAATTTTTTTTTTATTTTTTCATGTTTAAATATGACTCAATCAATAACATCAGCATCATTGTACATATAATTACTAAAATTTTTTTAGGTATATCGGCAAAGATGCAAGAGTACCTTTATCACTGTGCAATGTACCGTCCCTGAACGCGCGAACTTTAGACTACCTGATTTGTCTATTATAAATGCTTCCCATTTGAAAAGTATTATAGCCTCGACATTTTCGTATTAGGATTTTCGTCTTACTTTTTGCTCAGAAATACGCTATTAAAATTTCGGTCACGAGTTGCGGTACACCCTGTATGTATATTATTTCAACCGAATTTCGACTTTATATCGACGTTGAATTGACCTTAAGGGGATGCTAAACCCGTCTGTTTTATCGACATTTTTGTTTAGAATTAATCTTTTAATTGGCTTTATAGAAATCCAAAACTCTGTTACGGAATTAAAGTACGCAGCAAAATCTACATTATTTTGGTCGACTTTATATCAAAAACCAAAAAAAATTAAAAATTTTACTAATTTTTGGCATACTTGACGACAATATTTGCTTGATACAAGAATTCTACAATAAATATATACAAAATGAGACCAGACTAGTCTAGGGATAACATATAAGAACAATATCGTGCAATTAGAACTAATTGTAAGATTAATAGCCTAGAAAAAAAGATTACTTCTACCCAGATAGCACAAAGATGAACATAAGTTCATAGAGAATTCATTTTAAAGAAAACATACAGAATTAGAAAAATGAACATCTGAAGAATTCTTGAAGAATTAGTCTCAATCAGTTCGTCTTGAAGTATTCTTCTGAAGTTCATTATAATGAATACTTCGCGATTCAGTACTGTGAATACTTTACGAATTTATAAGGAATTATTTGTCATGCGCGAATATCCGCTAACCGCCATCCGGACGTTCTTGTGCAGCTTGTTACCACGTGCAATATTTTGTGTGCGTAACGTTATGTGCAATTAATTTTGTGCAATAGTTCTATTGTGTAAAAGAAAGAATCGAACGACGAGAACCGAAACGGAAGATTCATCCGATTGTCAACGAGCTTCGGTTGAGAGTATCTCACTGTTGAGTGAGAAATTATAATAATGGTGTAATATTACTGCATATTAGATGTGTACATACATTGGGTAAATATTTTGTAATCCTCTTTGTTCTAACACTATTCCCCTTCAATTCATAAAGTTTACATTTATTGAATTCGAGATGAATACTTTAAGAAGTTGTCAGGAAAACGATTTATGGTGCATGTAACTTCCTCTGTCACTCTTATTGTATTCTTCTATGAATTCCTGAAGAATTACAATTCAGAAAAAAGAAAACTTAAAGAATACTTTGTGCATTCAGTGTGCTATCTGGGAATGATTCGAGACATATCTCATACAGGGTGTCGGATTCGATTTGGACCACTCCAAAGATTATAGTAGATTGGGTCAAACTGAGAAGAAAAGTTATATACCATTTTACAAAATCCGTAATTATTATCGCGTAATTAAGAAAAACGTCTGAGCCAATAAGTGCACAGAGGAGCGGAAGGCCGGACTCGGCAGACATGCAAAATGGTGTGTTTGTTGACATCTCTCAAGAATCAATAGCGAGAGGTGGAGTCACGCATCTATCGATGAGAGGCGGGGACGAGCGGGGAGCGGTGAGCGGGCGAACGGCGCGCAGCGAGAGAACGCGCGACATATGACACCGCGCCGAAAAAGTTTTTCTGGTGGTAGGAGAATAATACACCATTTTGCATGTCTGCCGAGTCCGGCCTTCAGTTCCTCCGTGCACTTATTGGCTCAGACGTTTTTCTTAATTACGCGATAATAATTACGAATTTTGTAAAATGGTATATAACTTTTCTTCTCAGCTTGACCCAATCTACTGTAATCTTTGGAGTCGTCCAAATCGAATCCGACACCCTGTATATAATGTTGAGAGAAATATTGTATTGTATTATACTATATTTTTAATTTTATAATGTAATTATTTTTTCTATAATATTGTATATGTTGTAAAGTAAATTATAAAAAAAATAAATCATAAAATTGTAAAATATTACTTTGTAAAGAAAAGAGAACCGCCGTTCTAAATCGTCAGGGGTGGTGGAGGGCTTCTATAAATCGATTTTTTTTCATAAAATTTTAGTTCAATTAGATTCAAGGAGATTTACCTTTACAATTTGATTTTTTATTTGTACATTAATAAAAAAATGTTTTACATCGTAAGGGTTATGTATTATTGTATGCATATTACATGTTTAAAATAATTAATTATAAAAATGTAAAAACACAATTATTGCAAAAAAAGAGGACCGCCGAAAAGAATTCGACATGGGTGGTGGAGGGCCTCTACACAAGTTTGGTTTGTTCGCTCACATAACAAAAATTCTATAACTCTGTTTTTATCGACATTTCATGCATATAACACGGAACACAACCAAAACGTGCACAACTGCGTTATCCGCTTATCCCAAACGTGGACATTGGCTACGTAGTTCCTGTCCACGAATTCAACGTCCACAGAGGGCGTATGGCGTTCGAGGATCGTAAGAGTTTTTACGGTAAAACCAGGCCGCGTGGCTGCTCTCAGGTTTCTCTCTGATCTAAGTCTATGGAGAAACTGTAAACCATAACCTAAAAGTGTGCTTTTGTTTTCGTTACAAACGTTGATAAATTTGTGTTCCGCTATCATTTAAGGATTCAACATGAGTAATGAGGACGAGTCTCTGCTTGTGGAAGATAAAGATCATGTAAGATATTCTTCTTAATTTCCACTTCGATTTAGATTAATTTTATAGAAGTTTATTATAAAGAAACTCTGATGCATTCGTGAGTGACGATGAATATGCTCTGAATTGTGTTTTAGGAACAAATACAAGCCGAGATAAAACACATGAGTTTTGAGGATTTGCAGAAGTTAAAGGAAAAATTAGGAAGCAAGGTATACAATGAGACGATATTTGGAAGGAAAAACAAGAAAAGAACTGTGAAAACTGAGTTTAAGCGAGAAAATAAAAACAGGCCGCGGGAGATGTCTGCTAAGAAGCCAGTTTCCAGATGTAACGAGTTTACTCGTGTCAAAAGAGCTATGTATCGGGATCCTAGATTTGATAGTTTATGTGGCACATTTAATGAGACGGCTTTCAAGAATTCTTATGCATTTGTCAATAAATTACGAGAAAACGATCTCACGACCTTGCAAAAAGAATTACAGGAAACGACAGATCCAAAAGTTATGAAGAAGATAAAATATCTCATTCAGAGGCTTGAAAATCAACTGAGGGAAGAGAAGAGAAGGAAGGACAAAGAGGAGAAGAAGCGACAAGAGAAGCAGCAGCTGCTGGAATCTGTTAAACAGGGAGAGAAGCCAGTCTTCAAGAAAAAATGTGAGTTGGTCTTATTGTTAATTCTGATTTGCATTATTATTGTTTTATTTTATCTTATCTGTCTTTATTGCAGCTGAGAAGAAAGTCTTGAATTTGGTCTCGCAGTATGAAGAGTTGAAAAATACAGGTAAACTGAAGAAGCACATTCAGAGACTGCGAAAGAAGAACAAACATAACGACAGGACAAAATTGAGAGTAGACAGAACAGAGTGAAACGTGTTTATACGTATTTATGCTAAAGAAATATAAATGTGAACTGTTTATAATTGTGTGTAAATTATTTAAGTGCATTATCAATCAGGTTTTATTAAAAAGAGCCAGCTCTGGATTAAGTTTTTGTAATTATCAAATAGTCTTGAAGATCCACAGTTAATTCTTAGCTGACTGCAAAAAATTTTACTATTAGTATAATTAATAATTGCTTTAATGAAATTATTAAAATAGTAATATATACAAAGTATATAAAAAAAGGAACATGTAATTCTAGAGGCCCTACACCGCCCCCGCTGATTCCAGAGAACTACCTTTGGAACTGCTGAAAATCATCAGCATGACACATTTTTACCAAGTGTCGTGCTGGACACCAGAATTAAAAATTGTTTAAAAAATACGTACGGATCGGAACTGTTTTTAAAAGTATTACTAATGTATAGATCTCGTGCAGAACTGTCGAGAACTATAGTTAGAACTGCTGAAAATCATCACGACACATTCTCACTAAGTGTCGTCGATATGAAAAATTGTTAAAAAAACTCTTAATGATGCAATATCGATCTGAAATTGCATATACATATGAAACTTGAATAGAACTATCAGGAACTCTCGCCAAAAATGATATTAGTGACTGTGTTATGGTACTTTAGATCGAGGGGAGGGTGTCGACACCCTCACACGATCGTGCTAGATTCACGAAGTTAGCACAACGTTTTCTAAAAGTTGATTTTTTGATATAAGGAATGCGGAACTCTTTCTAATTTTTATCAGGAACTGTAGGTAGAACTATGAAAAGTACTATTGGAATTCTTAGTATTTTTTTTTTAATTCGTAGAATGTCGTGCCAACTTCACAGACTAGCGACAACCGACCGCAAAGATGCGTGTAATTGTTCATGTCATTCTTGCGACACGCATCTTAAAAATATATCAAATAAAATTTTTTAAAATATAAAAAGTAAATAGATACATATATATTGTATATACATAAAATGTGCCTTTGGTTCTACAAATTGATAGTTGCATCGAGCTTGTATGGTATGCGATATAAATAAAGTAAAAATAAATAAAGTAGTCTAACGCCCACATCTTCGACTTTTGTAAATTTTTCAGAATTTGTGTTTTTATGCGTAAAAATCTTGCGAGAACGAAAATCGTCGCTCGCGTACCGTTTATGTTTAATTAATTTTTTAACTTTGTCGATGTCGGTAAGTGAAATAATTTTTTTTTAATATTTTGGCAGCTTAAATTTCTGTTAACCTGTTAATTTATAATAAATATAAAATTACATTAATTTTTAGAAAATAATTTGTACATTTTATTAAAATAGACAAAAATGACCAATATTCTTTGCTTTAGAATAGTTTGTGCTTTTGATTAAAGCAGAGAATAATGACCAGTATTCTCTACATTAAACGTTATTTTATACAATAATTTTATTGAAGTTACACTGAGAAAAAAATTTTCTTAATTTTAGAAAATATATTTACTAAAATTAGATTTACTTGATTTAAATAAATAATGTTTAAAATGAAAAATTTTTCTCTTTATTATAATAAATCAAAACATTAAAATTAAAAAATGATTTCTCATTGAAACATTTGTTTAAATCTAATTCAGATTTGCTACATTATAGTACAGTACTTGTTGAAATGTAGTAAAGAATTTTTTTTAATATAGAATCTTGATATTTTAATTTTATAAAAACCATTTTAGTACATATATTTCTTTAAATTCAGTTTTTTTTGCCAGGCGCTTATAAAGTTTGGTGCTGCCACTAGATGGCCGCCGAACTCGTAAGTAAAATCGTGGCAGCTAGATATAAGCGACCGCATCAGCAGACGTAGTTTAATCATTTAATGGTCTATGTTTTATTATGACTGACATAGTGTACTAATTCAGTGTTTATCTTTTTTCTTTTAATGAAGGGAAAATTTTAATATCAAATTTGTTTGGATACAACAAAATTTATTAAATCCAAAGAAATCGTTTTCTCTGTGTACTAGAACTTCTTCATTACTCTGTGTACTAGAACTTCTTCATTACATTTACCAAAATATTTATTATAATTGATAAACTTTTTAATTTATGGAAACGACGATTTTCTTTATATGAGTAAATTAAATTGGAAAAGTAGAAAATAAACATTACAATTTAATAAACATTAACTGCTTTCCATAAAATAGTTTTGATATTTAGTAAACGATTTATTTAATAAAAGAATTATTTTCTATAAATGAACAAATATGATTGCTTATTTTAAGAAAATGCGTTCACAGTTGTATGCAAACACATGGTTTGCTAAAACTAAAGAAATTTTTTTTCTATAGTAGAGGGGTATATTTCAAGTCACCAGTGATGAATAAATACGATTAAGACTTTAGTTGATCCAACTGGCAATATAATTGATAGAGTGTTACATTAGTTGCGACGTTTCGACCAAGAATCCGGTCCTTATCAAGCAATCAAACTGCAAACCAACATGTCACAGCTTTTTTACAAAGAAAAATAATTTACATAAACGAGTGTTAAATTTACAAGTAACATATTAAAGAGTACGTATGTGAGTATTACCTTATGTATAAATGTTCATAGAGTATATAATGTAGCAGATGTATAAGTCTTTGTCAGCGCAGTAAATCGTCATTTTTATAAAGTCTTGAGAAAACACGTGCGCACGCTGCGGCGTTTTAGTTTGAACTGAGTCGTAAGTAAAATAAGGAAACAGTAAATGACAACGTGACCTACAGTGATTTGATAACACAGTCATATAATATGTTTAGGTTCTCTGTGTCCGTTTGTAAATTAATTGTGTTGTTCGTTTTCTTGATAAAAAACATTTCAGCAATCTCACGTTTCCTGAGGTTGCGTTCACTGTGTAAAATAATTGGGGCCGACCAATTAAATTCATGGTCATTGGTTGATCGATGTCTACTAACGACGGATTGATTGCTGAAATGCTTTTTAATGTCATTTTTATGTTCC